CCGGGAGCGGCCACTGTACTCCAGTCTGGGTGACAGAGTGAGACTCCAACTCAAAAAAAAAAAAATTTTTTTTTAAATCTTCAAATTTTAAGATGATACTAATTAGGCAGAGCTTAATGAATATTCTGTAATATAACAATGCAATTTCAAATTAACTTTATAAAATGAATATGACCAAAAATTATTCCACAAAAATGGAAAAAACAATAAGTAGTAAATTTTAGTAGAAAAACTGAAGGAGTAGACAGAAATTCACTAGACACATTGCAGGGAAGAAAAATATTGACAGCAAAATTCATCATAAACAGAAAGACTCAACAACAAACATTTATTATTACTCTAGCATCAAAAAGAAATGAGATGTTCCAAATAAAAGACTTTTCTAGATAGTTGACCTTTAAATGACAAAACCTATTTCTCAAACATTTCAATAGAACTTTTTTTTTTTTTAGGGGGTTTTCAATTATGTTTTGTTCATGTCTTAGTTTGAGAAATTGGAGGATGTGATGACAAAAAAAATTGAACTTAATTGAAAAAAGAGTGCCCTGTTAAATTAAAATGTAGTAAGACAAACAGGTGAAATCATAATTTTTGTAAAAAGGTAAAATTACAACTCTAATGGAAACATCCAAATAAATACACATTAAATATTTTGTTTTCTCATTAATATTTGAGGGAACAGGACAGGAGTTATAACTGGTTAAAAAGAGAAGTCTTCAAAGAACAGACACATTACAGATCAGGAAAATTGAAATATATATGTAAATAGAGATAAAATTGGCCTTTTCTATAGTAGGGATGGGAAGTGGTCAATAGAACTTTTAAATGTACTTTATACTTGTCTCCCAGTTTAACCCTCCCATAGAACTCACTATCAATTATTTCACAGTGTTTTAGGGTTTTAAAAACTTTTTTGTTCCACTTAATAGTCACAAGTGCTATGATCTGAAGGAATTTTAAGTATAAACACTTTGTAAGAGCTTTCCAATCTTACTGCTCTCTGTCAGAAGGTCATCTGTTGTATTCCACTTGACCATGTGCTTGCCTCCAATAGCTTCTCAGCTCTTCCCTTCCCTTCTTTGGCTGTTTCTAAACTGTTCTGATTTGAAATCACTTTTATTATATCGAGAATATGCAATGTAAAGTAGGACATACAGGAACTCTATTGCTAGTACAGGACACAGGTTTTAGGTATGTCAAATTTATATGTTCTGGATACTCTGAGCATTTTGTGTTTAAGTTTTTAACTACATTGTCACTGTTGGATAAGTAATCTATTGCTATAATCCTAGGATTTAAGTTTTGTTTTTGATTTTGTTTTTTGAGTCGGAGTCTCATTCTGTCGCCCAGGTTAGAGTGCGTGGCATGATCATGGCCACCACAGCCTCGACCTGCTGGACTCAGGTGATCCTTCCGCCTCAGCCTTCCAAGTAGCTGTAACTACTGGCATGTGCTACTATGCCCAGATTATTTTTTGATTTATTGTAGAGGCAAGGTCTCGCCGAGTTGCTCAGGCTAGTCTAGAACCCCTGGGCTCAGGCAAGCCTCTCACCTCGACCTCCCAGATTTTTAAGGTAAAATTTATATTGAAAACTAAAGAAATAATGTTACTTTAATACTCTACAATAGACATCAGGCATATACTTATTCACATAAGTCATATTTACGTAGCATGTAAAAATTTATATATCACAATCTCATTAAATAAGTAATCAAAATTATTCAAATATGGAGTCTAATTTTGATCACTGTGCTTTAAAAAACAAAAAATTAAGTTAAAAACTATGATCAAAGTGACCATTTAGAGTACTGGTGTTCTGATGAAAAGGTAAAACGATTCAGAAAATTTTGCTTATTCAATATATTCTAAAGATGTCCATACACCCAACGAAAAGAAACAATGAAATAAAACAGTAGTGATTCTGCTTGGCTACAAACAGCTATCTCTTATTTGTAGTCTACTTTTCTCAGGAGGAATCTGATGCAAAAGGTCATAAATTCTTTTTTTTTTCCCACTGCATTCAGTTTATTTTAAGTCATCCTTTTTCTTTCCTTAAGAGATATAGCAGCAAATACATAAAGCCCAAACCAGGCCAGAACAAAGAAAAAGGAAGTTATGTTTTAGGTTGTGGGACTCTCATGTGACTTTCTTTCTTTACTTCTGATATATTTGTCATGCTGTTTTCCATTCAATAAATGAAGCAATTAGAAAATATAAACTATCTTTTGAAAAGCAGAAGAGGTTAAAGGATAACAAGGGGAAACTCAGGCCCAGAAAGGGGAAAGTATATGGAGCCTAGACTTCTCCCTAATTCAGATTCAGAAATCCTGCCCCTTCACCACTTAGAAGCAAAGCTCACAGGGCCATGGAACCTTTCCTTCTCCCTGTGCAGATAGAAGAGAACTGAGGCCCTGCAACTGGCTGGGACCTGGCCTATCCATACTTTATTGGAAGAGCATGCATTCATCTTTGACTCAAAAGTAACAAGGGGATAGTTACAGACTCCCATCACTGCAAGCCTCAGTTTCCCCATGAAGAGCTGAAATAATAAATTCTTAGCCTTAGAGATTATCCAAGAAAAGATTGCTACCCTGGATTATATAATCATTTACTTATCTGAGGGAAAATGATTGTACTAGATGGTTATTTTAAAGTTCCACTTCAGTTCATTAGGCCATTATATCTGATTTCTCAACCTCTAGGGTGACTCATGCATTTTTTTCAAACTTATGTATTCAATATTATCAAGAATGACAAGAGAATTATAATCAACCACATAAATGGAGTTAACAAAACATTTCTTAGTAAGTTAAGCGTTTTCATGTCAGACTTTCCTTCAATGTAGGTGGCAGCAAACTCCAGCCAAGGGACTAAATCAGACCCACAGAAGAATTTGGCAAATGAAGTTTTATTAAAACATGGCCACACCCATTTATGTATATATTGTCTATGGCTGCCTTCATGTTATAATGACTGAGTCACGAAGTAGACTATACGGCTCACAAAGTCTAAAATATTTATTATTTGGCCTACTATAGAAAATGTTTGCTGATCCTTGCTTTAAGGGTTTCAGAAAACAATTAAAACTGAGAATAACATTCACCTACATTTGATTAGCTTCACCACCTCCAAATGGTTTGAATGAGTCACCAGAGTTCCATTCACCTGTAAGAAATAAAAATTGTTTGTCAGATAAATTCTATTGAGACAACAGATAAACTGACTTCAGGAAGTGTCATTCATAATATAAGCAATTACAATATAATATAATAAACAGGGATACACTAAAATACGAGGAGTGCCAAAAAATGTATACACATTTTAAGTGATGTTATCTACGTATTAACTTTTCAAAGTTTAATTGAATTACGGAAGCAAAGTGTAAGTGCAGAAGTCAAACGTGACTTGTATTCATCTTCTGTTATCTGTATACATTGAGCATTACAGTTTCAATACAGTTTTTTTCTTTCTTAAAATGTGCATTCATTTTTTGGCACCCTCTGTACATATGTATTTGATTCAATATTCACTTTCAGCACTATTCTTTTGTTTGGGGTTTTTTGGTTTTTTTTAAGAGACAGAGTCTTGCTCTGTTTCCCAAGCTGGAGTGCAGTAGTTCAATTACAGCTCACTATGACCTGGAACTCCTGGGCTCAAGCGCATACCACCAAACATAGCTAATTTTTTTTTTTTTTGGTAGATACAGTCTCGCTAAGTAGCACAGGTTGGTCTCAAACTCACAACTTCAAGCAATCCTCTTGTTTTAGCCTCCAAAGCACAGAGATTGCAGGCATAAACCACTGCACCCAGACCAGCTTTCACCACTATTTTATAAGGTATATTCAGCAACAAAATGAACTTCAACACAAAACAAGGTCTTGATATTAAAAACATTACAACTTATTCACCATGACAAATGACAACTAGCCATGAAACAGATTTACAAATCCTTCACAGTTAAGAACTCTTACAAATAGAAAGATCGAGAAGCAAATCAAAACCACACTGAGATACCACCTAACTCCAGTCAGAATGGCAATTATCAACAACTCAAAAAATAACAGCTGCTGGAGAGGGTGTGGTGAAAAGGGAACACTTCTACACTGTTGGTGGGAGTGTAAACTAGTGCACCTCTGTGGAA